GCCAAAGCTGGAACAACCCGAGTAGCAAAATAGCGAAGCAGTGTTAGATGATAGCCCTGAGCACAGAGCAGGTACCCATGACTCCACAGTGACAGAATTACTTGAATAAATTAATAAACGGAGGACAAAAGCACACTTCTCTCCTTCTCAGGTGTGGACTTCCTTCCTGAGAGCAGAACGCAGAAGGGGGGAAGAAGCAAGCTGCAGCGGAGAAGCCTGACGGCAGCAGCTCCCGGGTGGCCGCGGTCGACACCGGCAGTCACGAATCGCGGTGACTACCTATCCTCGATGAGGTATCGAGAGAAGAGCGCTCGACCCCTGTGGTCTTCCCCCAGCGCCCCATCACTCCAGCCTTCCCATGAGAGAAACATCCCGCAAAGCCCAATGCCGCAGGATCCTGTAGAATACCTGAACAGTGTCCCCCAGATCGTCAAGGTCATCAAAAACAAGGCGGGAGAAACCGCCACAGCCAAAAGCAGCCCAGGTGTCCTCGACAACCAACCATGACATGGCACCCTGATAGCCGGTAAAACCTCAGAAAATCTGAACAAACTACTGACTCAGTTAATCCTAATGTATCGATACTGGTACGTTAATTTTGACAGATCTGCCATACTCGTGCACGATGTTACAAACAGGGGAGACTGAGTGTGGGATTAGGGGACGCTCCTGCACCATTCTCTCGATTCTTCTCTGGCCCTAAAACTAATCTAAAATAGTAAAGTCTATTATAAAAAAGTAAAACAATGGAAGAGTTTAAAAATCATGCCAAAATGTCCATGAGGAAGGAGGATACTCAATCCTTCCTTATAGCAACTGCTGTAAAGCTCCCGTCATCCTTTTACTCATTTAATAAGTAGTCTCTGAGTGACCACCCCGAGCTAGGCAGTGCTACCCACTGACATAGGATACGTCAGTTAACAGAACACCCACGGTTCCCACAGCCGTGTCTCACAATCTCATAGCTAAAACATACATAAATCAACACAAAAATAATATTTTCAAATTTTGGTACACATTACAGAAAAGAAATGCAAATTGCAATGTAAGTATCTAGAGCGAAGCTGAATCTAACGTGAACAGAGACTGATTTGAGCGGGGAGAGTGATGCTCTCATTTTCATTCCTAAAAGGAGAAAATTGGGCTTCTCGGAGATTTTCAGTAAATCAGCAGTAAAATTTCAAAGAGAACTAAAAACTCTGATTGTTCTTATCCACTCGGATTTCAAATTTTCATATTGTAATACCACGCGCTGTAATTTTTGAAAATCACCAAAGATGAAAAAAAGGAACGAAATTCTGAAAAATCTGATTCTCCTAAGATATGCATCAAAAAATACAAGCCAAAATTAATTCTGCTGTCTGACTCAGGGAATAGTAACCGTCGCGAAGGAGAGACTTTTGCTGTAAGTTGCTGAAACCACTTTTATTTATGAAAAAGCAACGATATCCTTTTCTCACTCTGATAATTCTGTAGGCACTTCACAATATGTTGCTGCAAAGATGTGAACTGGCACGGTGAATATCAAAAGTTTCATATGTTTCTAGGCATGGAGAATTTTAAAGAAATTTTACTCCCTAACGGACACCATCAGCCTTCACTGACCTATTGAGCAAACTCAATTATTTCTTGATCATGGTATTAAGATTGAATAAATCTGACCATATTTTATCTTTATAGATTCTATTTGTTCTTTCTACTTTGGGTAAATTGAAAAGACAGTGTTCTTTAAAACAACCCTATTCAAATTCAGCTACATAATAATTGCTGATTGGCTCTGGAAGACTGGATAGTATCCCAAAGTCTATGAAGTTATTCAAAAAACCTTAATAATGGTTTTGTCAAGCCACATTTCATTTACCTAGTATGAGCATGCTTTGAATATGGGTTAAAACAATTAATTTTAAATTAAACTAGTTGTGGAGTTTACATTGAAAATATTCAATTTACCTCCAAATGCATAAACAAACTCATAAAATACATTTATAAATGAACTTTCTAATGCATAGTTGCTCTAACATAGTTTCTTTCAAGAATTTCACCACGGATTCATGTATCAAAGTCACAAGGAGAGTCATTAGAAGATGCTCTCATTTAGATCAGCTCCATGGACTGTATGGACCATCAGAAAGTCTCACTCCAATAAAATTCTCTCAATACAGCAAAAGTGAAATATTATAGTTCTTCTTGAACTATCAAAATTCAATTCATTCCATGAATTTGAACCAGTTTTGTAAAACCGTGGAACAGGTATGAAAACAATTGGGAGCATGTAATTGCAAAGTCACCGCAACGCCAGGTAAAGGGGAACATCTCTGCACTCAGGAAGCGGACGTGACTACCTCTTCCTGAGCTCTGCTCTGAGGTTCCTCATGTCATGTGTCCTCACCCAGAAGGAAGCAGAGCTGGAGGGCAGTGGACAGTCAACATAAACAGCGTGCCCCTGGCTGGCAGGCGAGCAAGGCACAGCTTGTATGAAGAACACAGAATGGAGCCGGGGGCGGGGGGGACACTTTTCTCTTAATTTTAAAAGAATGTCTTCCAAAGTTCAAGAGGAAAAAAAATCACTGACTTATTATACTCATATGATCCAAATCACTGGAAATTTCTGTGTGCTTTTACTATGTTCTGAGCATCCTGCAAGCCCCTTCGCATTGTCCTTTCAAGAGGATCAGTACATGGAAGCTAAGAGCGCAGAACCCAGAGTCAGACCTCTGGTCCTGGTCCCAGGTCTCCCTTCACTGCTGGATGGCTTTGGGCAGGCAGGTGACCTCTCTGAGCCTCTGTTTCTTCAGCTACAAAATGGGGTTAATGACAATTCCACCTGATGATAGGGCGGTCAGGTATGTGAAATGGAAATGACGCTTGTAAAGTTCATAGGCTTTACTTTCTCTCCTAAATAACCCCTTTGAAGAGAGAGAAATGTTCTATCTCATCATTCTGATGAGTCCTAGCATGATTATGTTCTCAATAAAGTTCTCAGGAAAGATGTATCGGGCAGTGCAGAACTTCCGATAACATGCATTTGAAAGCGAGAGCTTGTCAAAGCGCGTACTCAGAACTCACCCAGACATACCAGCTGTTTGGGGCTGGACTGGAGAGGCTGTGCCTCCCACAGACGCTCTAGCTCTGTGACACACACCTGCCTAACAACCTGAATTGGTGTCTTATTCTATAAAAGACACATGATTATGATCACATCTACCTCATGGGGGTGTTGTAAGAATTAAATGAAATATAGTTCATTTATATCAAATGTTTAACAATGTTAGCCACTTTTATTATTAGCTATTATTTTACTAATTTGGCTGGAACATGGGATTTATGTCATGAGTACTAAGAGGTGAGGGTGGAAAGAAGGCTGAGGTTGTGAAAGTTTTCAAGTCAGGTTTAAAAAAAAAACAGTCTAAGTGTTTCAACTAGGAAGGAAATACCATCACATCCTGCCAGCAAATCTAATAACACAGATAAAAAAAGTCTGCCTGCTTAAAAATTAAACAAAACGGGACTTCAAAAAAATTTTTAACCAATAAAAATACCGTGCTAGAGAATAAATCAGATAATTACAGAGTACTGGTTTAGAGTCTGTCAGTAAACTCACCCACTCAAAGAGAGAGAAAACAAATTATTTGTATGTAATTATAGTTTCACAGTTATGAGACCCTTAAAAAGAGATGATACTTTGGAAGTTACGTATTCATCTCTAAACTCAAACTGCATCGAATGCTAGGCATTTTAACCCACACTGCCTTGGAATTACAAAGCTCTTTCCTATAGAATGTCCTGTGAACCCACTTCTCCTTGCAGTTTGTGTGTCCTGTCATTTCTTACGCTCCACTTCCCGCTCCTCACCCTGCCCCAGCCCAGCATAACTCTTCTGTGCCCCCCTTCCTCCTGCATGGGGCCCACTTGAAGCTTCAAGAAGGATGAGTAACAATTTTCATAACAACTCTTTTCAATAAATTCACCTCTGGGGGAAAAAACCCTGAGTGAGTGTGTGTGTCCCGATGTTACTACTCATCTATTTGAAGTTTGATTGGTTTTCCTCTCCCTCTGCTTGCCTTCAGCTGCCTTAGCTATAGCATCTTCTCCTGTTTTGATCCAGCCTCTAATACACGCTCAGCTTTGAACCATACAAGTAACCGTCTCGCTGGTGCAGACACAGAAGGCGACCCAGATTACACAGCACGGTGCTAATGCCAAGGCGTCCGGGTCAACAGCAGCTGCTCTACACTTTGCCTTATTGGTATTCAGATTTGACAGACACAAATCACACGGCCTCTCTGACAGACGAACACACACCCTGCCTGTTTCTGTTTCCGATGTGTTCATAAAACACCCAGCGGAGGCCCTCTGGTCTCCTCTGATTTTTCAGATTGTTGTGCATCTGACAAGATTACCCTAGAAACATTACTCTTGTTTTCATTTGGGGAAGTTTATGGACTATGATATCCCCACTTACAAAACAGAAGCACATACGATAGAAAGAAACCCATTTCTCTCCGGCAAAAGAGATGCTTTGAACTATAATCCTTTGGGGAAAATTGAGACTCTGTTCCCTTGATTATGAGAGCGAAAGCTGGAATACAAATTTCTTTAAAAGTGAAGATAAATGCGTAGTACAGGAAATAAAATGCAATATAGCTTATGACTAATCTCCTTTTAAAGGACATCAGTTATAAAGTGCCAGATCTATTTTGTAAAAGTATAAACACAACAAAATACTTCTCTATGTGGCCATTTCAGCCTCCTGCTCACTACTCAAAGGGCTGAAAAGGAACATTTTCTGTATCTAAACGCTTACTGGAAGTCACTGAATCAGCAAACTGCTCGCACTGACTGGTCCCACTGATTTGTTGAACTTGCTCATGCCAAATTCTTTTCCCTTTTTTTTTTTTAAGCTTTGTATTTTGTAGAACATGTAACACTACAAACTATGCCCACAAAATATTCACAAGTCAGGAAAAGTGCTAAAAGTGCAGTAAATGCAAAAGGCTTACTTCTGATGGAGGTGAGCAGGGCCAGACCCAGGTAGAGGATGAGAAGGCAGTGAGTGGTCCCAAGCGCCATGGTCTCACAGAGCGGACATGCCCCGACGTGCTGCTGGCGCTCTGGTCCCAGGCGGCTCCCAAGCCATGTGAGTCAGAAAGGAGCAGGTGCCCTGGAGCCCGGGAGCCTGGGGTGCCCCCTCCGCCCCCGCCGCCCCTCCCCTCCTGCAGGTCCGCACGGGACGGGGACGTCTACTCCAAAAGCAGCTGTGCTTCTTAGCATCTTACTTACACAGGAGGATGGGGTGGCTTTTCAAACCCGGTGCAGATTTTTTTCCTGCTGGACTGGATTCATCCCCCCTCAGACCTTCTGTGATACTTTCCCTCCATGAACAATGCCTCCTCTAAAAGGCTTGCTTTAGGTTAGTGTCCTTAACCATTCTTAACAGAGGAATTAATTTCTGGTAACTGTCTTGGCCCACAATTATTATAATCTGGCAACTCTCAGAGGAACACCCTCTTTTTCTGTCTGTTTACTCTCATCTTCAGAGCACGGTTCACAGACTGGTCGATTTCTCCATTCATAAACATACTCTCACAACTCAGATTATGGTTGTTGATAAAACGGACAGAGTTCTGCAGATTATTTAGGGGCAGTTTTTCTTCATAAACCTAGAGTCCATTTTTAATCCTGTTCATGAATGAAATTTATATCTCCAGGGATTTCTTGAATTTTCACTTTACTGTAATTGAATGCAATTATGTTTGCTTATTTTTACATATACTTAAGGTAAATACTACAATATTTTTCTTCAGATTGAATTGATCCAAGCCCTTAAGACTGGATAATCCTTGGACGCTTCAAGGAAACATCTGTTAGTGAACATCAGATGCCTTATTCTCTCGGGCTAGTGCTGGACCTGGCCTTCCTCTGCTGTTAAAACTGGTTACTTGTTACCCTTTAAATAAGAATTTACATTTCAGATTTTGTTTAAAACCTGAGCACTCTCCAAGCTGAGTGAGTGACAATGCCTAGGCCACTTGATAGACTGGGGAGGATGTGAACAGCTGCCAGTACAGAATCGGACGGTATCAGGAAACTTTCTGTAAAGTTGTGTTAGTTATGAGTGTCACAAATTAAAGAGAAAATGAGAGGTTTTCCAAAGACAAAAGTATCAAAGATAATAAGTGGCTGGGAAAACATATTCAACAAGGAATGGCTGAAGAAACTATATGTTGAGCTTGACGACAGGAGAATAAACAGACAGAGCTATCAAACAAATGGGTGAACAAGTGCTACCACGCGTCAGACTTGGGGTAGTTGTTGGAGGAAATCATTACAGAAGACCTAACATTTAAGCTGGATGTTCGGGTGTGAGAACAACAAATAAACAGAGGGAACGTGGCGTCTAAGGGCTTCTTAAGAAAAGGGAGCGTGCACAGGAATAGAGGCCTACAGTGGTTGGCAGATGAAGGAACTGAAAATATTCTGATGTTGCAGAAATACGAGTCTGAACAGGGCGATGTCAGCACATAAAACTCCGTAAACCACAAGATCAAGGGACTTTAACTCTTAACATGAAGAAAGGAAACCACTTATAGGTTCTGAACAGTGAATCAGCATAATTAGATTTGCATCTGGGAAGGAAGCTCCAGGGTCCTGTGGCAGTGGTTGGAGAGGGCCGATGAGATGCACGGACACCAGTGGAAAGGGCACTGTTGGAGCCCACAAGAGAGGTGATGGGGCCCGAACTAAATCAGACAGTGGGGACAGCAATCAAAAATGGAATGAAAATAAACCAGACAGATCGAAAGGACCGGGGTAGAGAACCAGTCAGCAGGAAAGCTGTCCTTTTCCAGCTCGGGCACTTGGACGGACAGTAATGTGCTCACAGAAGTGGAGACCACAGACAAGGGCTTCCAAGCAAGCAGCAGCAAGCGCTCTCCCCAAGCCAAACACATTGAAACACACGCATTTGGATAAAATACAACTGTAAAAATACACAGGTAAGCTCCAAAAAAAGAAAAATAAAGAGAAGAAGATATCCAATTGGGATAGAAATCTCCTGCCCACTCTATCGTTTAATACTCACAGAATTCTGCAAAATATGTGAAGTTACCCTGATTTGACAAGTGGCAAAAGAGAGATTAAGAGATCCAGATTAAATATATAATAAGTGATAGACTCAGATTCAAACTCCGTTCCGTCATTCTGCCGTCCTTAATCCTTGCTATGATGGTACTTACTTTTAATCATACAAGTAAATTATAAATGCATTCTTGTAAAAATACTCTAAAAAATCTTTGGTGAATACCAGTCTCACACTCCACCTCAGAAGTGACCGTTGTTACTGTTGGTGAAGATTGTTTGATACCATTCTAGACTATAGGTTGACAGATAAATAGCAGATGGATAGACAGAGAATAGAAAAATTCTTCAGCTTCTTTTCATTTTTCCTTTTTAAAGGATGATATCATGCTATGTGTATTACTGTATTACTACGCAACGTGCGTTCCTCCCCCAGCAGCATGTCCTGGGTGTCCTGGCACACTGTTATATCTGTCTGGCTCGCACTGTTTAGTGACACATGGTATTCCAGAATTCAGATGTACCACTGTTTCTTTCTTTTCTTCTGGGCATCAATGTTGTTTCCAATTTTCTTTATGCAAACAATGATTTAACAATAATCATTTTACACACTTTTTTGTACAAATGCACATCAGTTTCTCTAGGATAAATACTAAAAGCAGTAATTTGGGGGTTTTGACTATGTTTATTTTTAACTTTAACAGATACTTCACAAAACGAGGTAAGCAATTTCAACTCTTCTCAGCTGTGTGTGAAGGAACCTGTTTCTCCACATTTTCCCCAGTATTTGATAACATCAAAGGGTAAAACGTACCTAAGTCTCAGTGGGGAGGGGAGAGAACATATGAAACAAGATTGGCCATTTGTTGATGAATTTTGAAGCCGACTATTGGGTATGTGAATGTTCGTCATACCATTTTATTCTACTTTTACATAGGTTTTTAAAATTCATAATCAAAATTTGAAATCTTTAATTTGAATATTTTTCATACTTAAAAAGATTGAGCATCTTCTGAATATCTGTGTTTTCTCTTCAGTGATTTGCCAACTCATATTTGGTTCACTTTTTTACTAGCTTTTTAAAAATTTTATTTAATTGTAGAATGTCTTTATAAACTTGGCTCTTAATTCTTACTCTCCTGTAAGTGTTGAAAATACTTCTTCCAAAATGATTCTTTTAATTTTGCTTATAGTTTCCTTTATGAAGTTTTAAAAATGTATCTGTCTTACACATGTTTATTTATCTTATTTTTTATGAACTTTCATTTTTGTCTTATTGAAGAAATGACTACAGGCTTATTAATGTAGGATTTGGTGTCTTATTCCGACATTTATTTTAACTTTTAAAAAATAAGTTTATTAAATTTTTTTTATTTTATGACTTTAATTTGTATACAATCCATTTTTATGAATGTGTAACTTATAAATTTAATTTGATTCTGACATAGCCAATGGTCCAAAAAACTCCCATTAAATTTCAAATTTGAAACCATGTATAAAACTCCCATCTGAACATGAATCTGCTTTATTTCACTGTTCTTGTGTGTATTTCTTTGCCCGTGAACTGAGTTAAAGTTAAAATAAGTCTAGTATGTGGTCTGGTAAGCCTACTTGAGTCTTTCTTTTCAAAATTTTGCCTTTTCTTGCACAATCTCTCTTCCAGGTTAATTCTATAAGCATCTTGTCAATTTCCATTCAGTGGATTTTCATGGGGATTGCATTCATTGTATAAGTTAATTGACAGGTAATTTATATCTTTTCAATATTAATCACACCATATCTGAATAACCACAGAACATTTAACAACAGTATGTCACTATTATATGTCAAACACTTTCTCAGGCCTTTGTATATATTTTTTCTTTTAATCTTCATCATAGCACTATAAGGTGGATTCTAATTTCTGCCTTTATACAGATGATAAAGACAGATTCACCTTGCGTCAGGGGTCACAGTCACTCTGGAAGAGAAGAGAATGTAAAGTAAGAAGGGGGAAGGCCAATACACCAATGTGTAATGATTACAGGGTAAGTCAGAGATTTAAGAGGAAAACCAGGAGAACGTAGGGCAAAGGGAGCAAAGAGAGGAAAGAGGATCAGGAGGGGGAGATGGTGGACAGTGGAAATGCTGCAGGAAAGCTAAGAAGACCCGAACTTACCAGTTGGCTGCAGCAGTAAGGAGATTTTTATTGACCTTGGTGAGAAGAAGGTCAATGGAGAATTGGGACAGAATTCAGCTCTCACTTATTTTTATGAGCAAGTTGAAAGTTAGAAAGTAGGGATAGCGAATGCGAGCTACACTTTCCAAAAATCTGGCTGAGGACAGTGTTGTGAAAGAGAAACAGAGACAAAGCACTATTAATTACTAAACCGGGGCACACCCAGTACCAATGCCAAGGCTTTCTCCTTACTTGGTACGTTAAATCACATGGGAAGCATTGTCAAATGAGCAGTGATAAACCTTCTTAGCTTATATTATATGGGTAAATGCTATTAATATAAATGTTCTAGAAATTATATAAAATTCGCAAAATTCAGATATGTCCTAGCGTAAGTCAGAATTTTAGTTATCTTAAAATACTGCATGTCACAAAAATAACCAAATTTCTTTGTCAATTGCATTGTAATCAGATCTCTAGATCGCCTTTTTAAGTCTTTTGTCATTTATAGACCATTATTATTTTACTCTAATGCTTTGGCAAAAATACTTCATCTACAAGAAGATTCGTTGAAAGGATTTTTTGACAAGCACTGGTTCCTGATAACCTTCACATCACAGCTGGGTACGCACTGGGTAACCAACAAAGAATCCTAGTGACAAACTGGATGGCTTCACAAACTGCTTACAAAAGATCAGGATTGACAAGGATTAGTTACCTAGGGCTGGATAACAATTTTTATGACTTTATGTCTCAAATATTAGTGGCCTTAATCTTTGTTTTCCAGATATAAGAAAACCTTTCCCCTTAAGCTAATGATGACTTGCAGCAATTTGGTAAATTATACCTTGGTAAGAAAAATTGAAGCATTTATCTTTCTCTCTATCTGATCCCTCCAGAATTTGGAAACTCT